TCTGGGAGTTGAAGTCCACAAGTCTTAAAGTTGCCAAGGTTGGACACTCCTGATTTAGCTGATTGGGTCATTGGCCACCCAAACAAGAAGGTCCTGTAAATGGATTGGGCCACTGTTCTCCCAGGGAATTATAGCATTGCAGTCCAGCACGTCTGGAGGGTGCCAATGGTTGAAGATCCCTCCCAGGTGTGTCCTTTTTGCTGACTCACTCCTCATAGTCCTTGCCTGAAGCGGGGAGATGTGTTCACACAGCCCACGTGCAACTCCAAAGGCATGTTTTGACCAAAGATGAATATCTGGTTGTACATATAGGATTGCTTTATTTATTTATTTTCTTTTTCTTTTTAGTTTTTAACAATAGAGTAATCCTTTCTTGAAGAGATTCTAAATTCCGTGGAAGACAGTAGGATATTGGTGAGGAACTATCCTACTACTATCTGGAGATAGTGATAATTTGCTTCTGACACAGGTTCCCCACCCCCCCCTTTTGTCTTAAAAGCTTCAATTTTTCCCTGCCTGTCAGTTGAGAGCATGAAACAATAGTGGTATTAGGGGACTGGTTTGAGCCTTACCATCTAGCAATATTTGGCATAGAGAAGATGAGATGCTATCCAGTCTTCTCTCCTTTTTTTATCAATACCCATCTCATTCCCCATCCTTCTCTTTTCTGGTCCTCGGTGCTACCTGGGTTTATTCTGCTCTCCATCCAGTCTTCATTCTCCATAATTGATTAGTTTTATTCCATAATGGACATCTTCTTTCCAGAAGGTGGCCTTCTAATCAATAAAAGGTAATCCTTGACTTACATGTGTTGTAGGTGGAGATCTAATCAGAATACAGCTGGGAGAGACCTTGGAGGTCTTTTAATCCAATCTACTGATCAAGGGGGAGACCCTACACCATTTCAGACAAGTGACTGTCCACTCTCCTTATCATTTCTGTCTCCATCTGGGTTTCTGAGAATTCAGTCTCTGTCTTTCCTCTTCCCCTCCTTTTAAATCATGTTTGAATTGTGCTATGGTTATTTCAGAGTCAGGAATAAATACGTTAATGCTTGTATGTAATAGCAAGGCTTACGTTTCTGGAGGAATCAGGTTTTCATATCAGGGTCTCGGCTGCTACAGACAGATGAAGTGGCCCGCCGAGGAAGCAGCTTCTTTTGAGTCCTTTGCAATGAGGAGGAGGAGGAGGAGGATGGAGGGGATGAATGCTGGTTCCTGCTTCATTCCTGTTTTGTTTTAGCCTAAAATGTAAAATTTGAATGAGACTGTAATCAGACTGGGCCCTACCACTTTGAGATCGCAGGGAGGGGAAACGTTGGCACAATAGAATGCTTCCCTGCATAGAGAATAAAAGTTCTGCGTGTAGAAAATCCCTACGTTGGGAAAGGAAGTTCTTCTGGCCTTGCTTTCTTCCAAGAACACGCAAGATGTTTAATTAATTCCATGGAAAAGCAATTAATAATGCCCCTTTCCATAATCAGCCAACTTGATTATGGTGTGCAGTGACCTTGACTACAATCTGCCACTTCTTTATTGTGGCTCTTAGCCAAAGATAACCTTCCTTGTTCAGGGTTTTACAGAGTCCCTGTTGCTTAGACCAGAAGAAGTAGAGAGTGGGTAAGTCCAGGAAAGAGGCGGATTGTAACACCTGTTTCTGCTTTCTCCAACATGGTGCTCACCAGATGTTTGAGTCCAACACCTCTCAGCCTCAGCTCTAGGACAAAATACAGACAAGAGGAGTGGTCCAAAACATCTGGAGGCTCTAGGATTGGGGAGTATTGCCGTTTCTACTATATGAGCCGTGGAGACACAGTGGTTAGAGTGTAGTACTGCAACCTCCTCCTGCTGACTGCAAATTTGGCAGTTCAAATCTCACCAGGCTCAAGGTTGACTCAGCCTTCCATCCTTCCGAGGTGGGTAAAATGAGGACCCCAAATTGTTGGGGGCAGTACCCTGTAAACCCCTTAGATAGGGCTGTAAAGCACTGTAAAGTGTATATAAGTCTTAAGTGCTATTGCTAACTCTGGATAGGGAGGTGTAACACAGCTCTTCAAAGGGTGCAGGACCCCAAATCCTCTTTGGTATAGGGCTAGCGTCCTGCCCTGCTTTCATCTCTCTGTCCAGTTATTCCAAAGCGAGAACAAGTCGCCTGCTGATTTGTTTGTGAAGAGTGTGTACATCAAGGGTCTCCAAACTTGGCGAGTTTCAGACTTGTGGACTTCAACTCCCAGAATCCCTGAGCTAACATGACTGGAGGAGGAATCCTGTTAGTTGAAGTCCACAAGTCTTTAAAGCTGTCAAGTTTGAAGACCTCTGGTCTACATTGAAACTTCTGGTGAGGGAGGGGGGCGTATACGAAGTCAGTGCATCTTTGGTATCCGTTCTCCACAGTGGATACCAACTTATTGTTGAGCCTGATTGAAAGCTTTGTCAAGGATTGTGCCCTGAGCCATGCTAGTGCCTGCTGATTTTTTTTCAGTAGTACATAGCCGTCCCTTCCTTCCTCCTCTTCTGGCCTACTCTATACCCTCCTTACCCCACCCCCTACCATGAAGGGGGCGTTTCCTCCCTCTGCCCCCTGTGCTGTGCCTTTTTTAGCCATACAGTGTCTGCCTGTGGAAAATGGTGTCGTGCAATTTTTGCCTGTTTGTCTGGCCACCATCTGGGCCCCTCTGGGAGGGCTCCTCGCACGTCTCGTGCACCCCTCCATCCAAACAGCAACAAGCTCCCGTCTCTCTCTCTCTCTCCAACCCCCTACCCCCCCCCCTTTAGTGCACTCACCTCCTTCCTCTGGGCTGGAAGACCTTTGCACAGGACAGGTGTGGGCGGGTGAGTGGGTGGTGGCAAAAAGAGAGTCCAGCCCGCTTGCTTTTCACAGTTCTGTATTCTCAACTTAAGCTGGGCTTTTGCCTCTTGTTCTCTGCTTCAGGCCAAGCGGGAACCAGTGGCCTTCAGTAGCCTCTATGTGCTTTCATGTACAAATACGGTCTCGGCTAGGAGCCGTTTAAAGCAATGAATCTATTGTATAAAATATTGTGTAAAGAGAGTCTTTTTACATAAATATTCTAATAAATGAATGTTTTAATTTTTAATGGCCTGGGGTGAATCTCTCTTTCTCTCTCTCTCTCTCTTTTTCTCCCCTCCCCCTCTTTTCCCCAAAGTTCTTGCTCTGGGTTCTGTCAAAGCACATGGGAATAATCAGGAGTGGGATTCAAATTTTTTAACAACCAGTTCTGTGGGCGTGGCTTAAGTGGTGGTCATGTGACTGGGTGGACATGGCTTGGTGGTCATGTTATTGGCTGGGTGTGGCCAACTCAATATCACTCACATCGAGGCACGCATCTCCTCGCCTGGCCTCTCATGACTGTGGGGATGCTGCAACAGTCGTAAGTGTGAAAAATGGTCATAGGTCACTTTTTTCAGTGCCATTGTAACTTTGAATGGTCACTCCACACAAGCAAAGTACCAGCAAAGGAGGGGGAAAAAACTCCAGAGAGGTTCCTGAGACAGGAAGTCTAGTCCTGCCAAGAATGTAATAAGGGTTAATGGAGAGGCAGTTTCTGTAAGCAACACCAGAATGTTTCCTTCCTGCCTTCCTTACAGGATTAGGCCAGTAATTTCTTCTAACAACCAGTTCTCCGAACTGCTTAGAGTGTTAACAACCGGTTCTAGCGAATAGGTGCGAACTGGTAGAATCCCACCCCTGGGAATAATGTACAAAACTGGGGATAGGGATTGTTTTTGGACTGAAGATTATTTGGATTGGCAAGGGAACAGCTGTGAGGCCAAGTTTTCAGATTGGGTTCTCACCTCCCAATGTATTAGTCTACAATGTACACCAGGGGTCTTCAAACTTGACAGTATTTTCCATGTTTTTGAATAGCTTCTAATGGTGAGTCTCAGAGCATTGTAAGCAGCTGGTCTTGGTCTGTGCAACAATCCATTACGCCAGAGGTCTCCAACCTTGGCAACTTTAAGACTTGTGGACTTCAACTCACAGAAACCTGGGAGTTGAAGTCCACAAGTCTAAAGTTGCCAAGTTTGGGGATCCCTGCATTAAGCT